CAAGAAGATCTTGGTTTTATTTCCGCGTACGTCTTCATGCGAAATCTTTGCCTTAAATGCTGAGGTCTCATTTCAGAAATCAGGCTTCCTTCTAATCTACGACCTCCCTGAATAAAAAATTATTGATAATTAGTACAGTTTACATATGGGAATAAAGGAGCTGTTTAGACAGTACCTATTTATGGTATAAGTGCATATACGATATGGCGCTCCATTACTGGGAGTTCGATCCAGAATAACCGCTGGAAAATGTTATAGCCAGTGGTTTGTTTGTATGGGGATAACAAAAGACAAGAAGCCAAGCATTTTATTGCTTTACTTGATCCCAACTACCTGATGTTTTCCAGACCTCATGTCTTCATGATGGAAGTGAAGTGTACAGTCTGTTAAGATGTTGCCTGAGACAGCCGTCCGAGACGCAACTACACTTCTTGTCTGACGTTGACCACTTGTTCTGAGATTATAAGATATTTGCACAGTCATATGGCATATACCCTTCAGTAATTCGCCTCATCCCCGACTTTTGATCAGCGATGCGTACTACATGTGCGAGAGAAGAGTCAGGAATTTGTGCGTCCAGTACTTGTTGCACATACTCCGGGAGGGTTCGCACCCAACCTTGCTTCAATAGCCCTCTCCATGCTGTTCTCTAAAAGCTACTGTAAATGGCACGAGGACTGTGTTGGGGATCTATCTCCCACCTTCTCCCCTTGAAGAAACCGTTGTAAACGCAGATTTTCTGACAAGAAGAGGCCCTTTATCACCTGGCGCTTGAGCATTGTGCATGGTTGCTAGTTGGGAGATTGCTAACCTCATAAGTTAACTGAGAACACACGTCCCTAGATCTGCTGGTCTCAGAATCAGTGTTATATCGGCCAAGGTAGTGTTCTGTTTGAGCAAAACCATAGTTCCTTTTCACGTCAATCAAGCTCAGGCAACCTAAATTTGTTAGTTGCTAAAGAATTCACCTCCGCACTAGTAGAGTTTTTCAAGCCATTTTCCATGTTTGGCAAATGGGACATCATAACAAGCGAAAAAATAATGAGCTGAGTAACATGAATTAACTAAAGAAACAACTGAATGAATTCGAAGAACAACCAAAAACAGATATATAGACACCAGACACCTCAGACAAAATAGAAGGCCAAACGTGAACGAAACAGGCACACCAAATTTGGAAACCGACTTTCTGCCAAAATAATTGTTCAGATAACCAACCGACGACTCGTAATATTGTAGAAGGCCAGTGGTGTTTGTGAAACATTCTTTCTGAAAGCACCAAAGAAGGTAAGTGAAGCGGGGTATCTAGTCAAACAAACGGAAGGGCATAAGTCATTCAGTAGATAAAGAAAGCCCCACAAATCATAAAGCATATGTAGCCTCCAACTGGTTGCTCATTTTGTCACTCTAAATTCCTCAGTCACTTACTAAATCGGAGTGGTGATTGCATGCTGTGTTGCAGAGGCCATACAACGGCACTAGCTGACTGTTCTGGTGCGCAATCCATTTCCAGTGAGTCTAAGCTTGAAGAAGTGACTAAATTATTTTTAAGCATTCCTCTGAGTTGAAACAGTGTTGATGGTAATTTCAGTTTGAGGTCTCATATCTCTCCCTAGTGGATTATTTGCAGGAGTTTCTGATATTGGTCCAGAAGGAATTTGAAAAAAATATGTTCGCTTCAAAGTGTATCGTAATTCCAGTCTATGGTGCTGTTTGCTTGTGCAAAAGTCTTTATTCGCCACACGTCCTCCTTTCACTGGAAATCTTTTGGGGAACTATGTAAAGTGGTGAAGACCAAGAGATACTAGATGACCAGATGACGCCAGGCTCAAGCATTCTTTCGAACTCTACTTTTGTGGCTCCAAGTCAGTGTGACGACGTTGAGGGCAAGCAAAACCTGGCGGTCCAGAAGTTTAATTATGATGAACCAAGTGGTGCTTCATTTCTTTTTCTCGAGAAAAGCGCTGAAGAATACCATGAAGCCAGCTCACTAACTCTGTGTAAAGAGATCCTGCTGTACTTGTGACCATTATATTCAAAGATGCTGCTTGGATGAATACACTTACAGTGTGCTCTTTATTTGGCGGGTAAACGAATCTGTGACTAATAGGGTCTACCAGTAATCTATGGTGCTGTAAGAAGTCAGCGCACAAGATTAGTGACGAGACATGCGCAAGAACAAGTGACCAACTGTAGACAGGAAGGAGAGCGTAACCCCAAGTCGTGTCTTTACGTCAAAATGTAACAGTAGGGGACTTATTAACGGTGTAAGGTGTTGATGTAAGCTCAGGTTGCTGGCGATCATGCGTACATAGTGTAAGAACGCTTACTTTTGCTTCTGTGCCCACCAGAAATTTAGTACCAGTATTCAGATCTGTCATATAAAACCAGCGACTATTGGTTTGTCGATTGCCGAAGACAGCAGTTGGTATAAATCACCGGCATATATACTTCTGGACATATTCTTTAATACGGTCCGAAAATTAAAGAGAAGAAGGCGACGTCTTGCACTGCCTTGATAGTCACTGTGGTACCAGCACATATCGACGCGACCTCTTGACATTTTAACTGTTCAGGAGCCACGCTGATGAGATAAACTTCTGTGAAAGGTCTATCGTCTACAAATTGTAAATAATGAAAACTGGCGCAGTAAAGCGGCAACCTTATGTTCTAAATTCTGCATTCGGTATTCAATGTCCAGTACCTCTTTAGCGGAGGCTACATTGTGAGGTGCTGAACTCCCACACATGCGGTCAGGTATTCTGACGAGCTTATTGACATTAATATCATCATTCCAAAAATCAAGAACCTGCTGAACGTTTGCGGGCATTAGTCGCTTCCAAATTCGATGTAAGAGTCGCTTGTCCGTTCCTCGGTCTGCTACGAGGCTTTGCATACAACGCATGAGGTGAGAAGGAGCTCATTTAACTGATTTCACATTACTCAACAAGTTGTTCAATGCTTGTCTGTCGGACAGTGATGTGCAACCTGTAAACATTTTCCAGTTTTTATAGGGAAATTCTGCGCCACGACGGACGACTTAATGACATTCGTGTTCTGCGACCTCATCAGGTAGGTCAATACTCAAAATACCAAGTTTGGTGCTCTGTAAAGTTAGCTTATTGGCTTCAAAGTAATGTTCCAGTCGTGTAAAACATAGATGTGGATCTATGCACTTACAATGTGTGTGCTTAGAGTAGTAGCACTGATGGACCCCAGATCAAAGCTATCAGAGTTAATGTAAGACAATATAAGCATTCATAGGAAAGTGGTTTAGAAACAAAGTATCAAAATGGATACATCATGAAGATTTCAAGGGACAAAAAATAATTCTTACACTTCTTACCGCAAAATCTTATTTCAAAAAAAGTTCAAACTATGTTATGTATATATACAAATCCACAACAATTATTATTTAAACAGTCCGGAAGGTGTGGTGGAAACGTTCGGTACATCACCTATTGCGTAGCGCTATCCGACTGCAATCTGTATGCTATAATCCAACTGCAGCTCCTCGTCCTTTAATGCTCTGAAAGCTGTGTACCGATAGCGTTGCATCAGGAAAGCTTACGAGGATGATCAGAAAAACTGAAATTCTAAGGTAAGCGAAAAAAATTGACGGCTCTTGACCACGCAGTGTATAAGAAAATAACCGAAAACCAAAGTTCAGTCGCACGATGGTACATATTTACCAACGCACACGCAATATCGGCTTCTTTAAAAGTCTGATACAGGTGCATGAATTAGCTATGGAATCATTTGATTGGCATTTATAGAGTTTCACGAATATTTCATCAGTGATTTGTTGATTACAGATAAGTTTCAGTTCACGTGTCTGCACGATATCAGCCAGGACTTTTTAAGATACACCTCGTATAATATTGAAGATTTATACAGAACTGGCACTTGCAAGGTTCGCTGTATGACCGACTCATTACATAGGGAAAAACTTAATGGTCTGAATCTCTTACTCTTGTCAAACAGCTGGCAAATTGGAGATCGACTCATGGTAAGGGGAAATGACTACTGACCTGACCTATTTTTGTTACCCACCTCCGTCAGGCACGATACTCCTAAAGAAGATTCTAAGGACAAAGGACGAATTACATCCTTATAGAATACTGGTTCTCTATCTCATGACTTGTGGATCTTACTCCCAGAAGTGGAGCTGCTCATTCAACTGATTAGTTCAATAGGAAATAATAAAAACACAGAAACTTAATAAAAAAAGACTAAAATAAGCCCAAACCTTTTATCAGCAGTCAAAAAATGTAAATTAAATTTGTGGTTGTATTGTCATGGTTACACTCCTTAATGGGCGGTTCAGTCGAAATAAAATATTGCATCCAACTTTTTGTGAAGCTTCTAAAGTCTGTTGGGTTTTCCGATGTGTCACCTGAGAATATTAGACTCGCAAAGTATGATCACCCAGATGCTATTCCTTCGATGCTGCGCCTCGCATTTGAACTCGTATATTTCTCTAAATATGGATGTGTCGATAGTTTGTGTGCTGAAGGTTTCGAAAGGTTTTCTGACATAGAAAATTTCAAATTCGTCTCCAAAAACTTGGTCAGGTGTAATTTTCCACTAATAAGTGTAAATAATCAAGATATTAAAACGTCAAGAACTCTGTTACTAGGTTCCATATGGATTCTTGTTTCGTGTGCTGTTTTGTCCCAAGTTGAAAGGAAGCTGATATCTGATGTGGGAAAATTGTTAGGAAAAAATCTTTGTGAATTAGCAGCATTGAAAGTTGATGATTCTTCCGAAGATAATTCATCACTACCCCGATTAATTTGGTTAATTGGGCGTCTTAAAATCCAGATGAAGCACTTATTTCATTTGAAAAGTGAAACAATGAACTCCTTCCTCACCTTTTCAGAAGAAAAGCCGGAATTCGCCTCTCCATCAAATTGCTGGGTCTTGCGAAATCCAGACGCTCTACGTGAGTACATCCAAAATACTCAAGATTGTATCTCAAAAGTACGTACAGTCTTATCATGGAAGGAAGTGAGTCACACATTTTGGCAGTGGACTCACAGTGTTATAGATGCCCACTCAGTTGACTCATCTCATTCACCTTCAAATGATGAAGTACATGCCTGTGTTGGTAAATTTAGTGAACTAGTTTCCAACCTTGATTTTTCTATTAACAACTTCATTACGAAGTATCCTTTTCTAAATGATATGCAGTTAGACCTATCCAAGAATCCAGAGTGTGAGACTGATATTCCCACCGAAAATCTTCTTGTAGATGTACACAAAGAACTGTTTTATTTGATGGAAGATTTAACCTGTGTAAATTTCTCCGATGACCCTTCCTTGCAACTTTATCATTTTCGATACAATATTGTCCATGAAGAAGAGAAGAAATTAAAAAGTGAAGATGAAGGTGACTACGATTTTGTTTTGGAAGATGAATGCAGAAAACTTAAGTTAATAATTAATAATCTTAAGACTAAAAGTGAACATATCAAACATGAGTTATCTCAGGAGCTTCAAAACGTTGGTGCTGATTACCTGCCGGAAGCGGTTATTCTGTACAAAGACTTGTAAATAGAGTCCACATTTTGTTGACACTATTCCACTTTTGCCTATCTTGATTACAAATATACCAATTAACCCTGTCTTTGGTTTTTTTTGAATCACTCGAACGCTATGTTGTTAACAGTGTGTTTTTGTCAGAATGCCTACGATTGAACTGTGTGAATGTATTTACAAACATCCTGTTTCTTTGAACTCAGTTACTGGGAACATCTATTTTACATACGAAGCCATGGGCCATACAATCATTGTTTGACGATCTGTGATGCTACCTATGCTTCAGTAAGTGGAGTGGAAGTCGGACCAGCCACCTACTGGTTGAAAGTCGAACGCTTAAGCCAATAAGCTACATTTCCACAGACTTTTTGTGGATTTTCATCAACATAAATAATCGGGGTTTTCCAATATGTGTTATTAGTTTTCACTCAGAAGTACGGGTTTGATCCCCAATGTCCTCTTGCCTCAAACGATCCTGCAGGCCAATAATCATCTTTTATAATCTTTGAGCAGTATCATTGAATAGGTGTTACTCAAAGTTAATTTGTTCCTTATTTGTCTAGGAGCTCAAATTTCACATATTGTATTATGGTTTTCAATTATGCAGCATATGTGGGGTGGGGTGGGGGTTCAGAAAGCGAGCTAATATCATAATCCGTCACAATGTATGTGACGCGTTCACTATGTATAAATGCAAGTGGTTGTCGGGTAGCATTTTTCATTCATCTTATTCAGTGTTAGCTCAAAAGCCACTACATCTTTTTCATTTCTGAATAATATTGCAGGTATAAGGTTATAACTTCCCAAACATTAGATTAGTGAGACTCAGGGTACGAATCAGAGTACCGATAGTTATTTAACCCTTACTCTAGATGATTATGTCTTACTGTTTTGCGAAAAGCACATCTCAATCCTATCTGCTGCAGATCATCCTCAATAAACATTAAGATATTTCAGTGGGCGTAACAGGTAGTAACAGTACTACATCTTAAATAAATTTCCGGATAAAATTTATTTTTCATACTTAAGTGTCTATCCCCATATAAATTCTATATTATTATTATTACTGTTTGTTGTTCCTAAGAGTAATAGGAGTTTTACGGCGAGTATTGAATCGTTAATTTTACCCATATATGACGTCAGTTTGCCAGTCAAAAGCTAGTGGACGGTTTTTACTTTAAATCCAAGATTGTCCTTTCAGATTTCATAATTTTTTGATATGCCTATACTTCCATAGCTGCATTTTATTTCTTCTGGATGACTTATTTATATTTTTTCTCGGTGTCAGTTGTAGATCGTGATTCACTTTGAAGGATTTCCCGGATATAGATACAGGGTAAAAGCCTTGAATTTCCTCTTAGTTTTGTGATAATCATTACATATGCCTAATGTTTCTGAATCCATTTTGAAAGAAAGATTCTGAGATTCAGTAGTCAAACATCCAACTCAATTACTTCAATATTTTACTTGAGTACTAGGGGGGGGGGTTAAAATTTGGATGTCTTTTGTCATATGATAAACATCAAACAAGCACTGAATTCATCTCTTGAAATTTGATCACTGATTGGTTTATATGGAGTTTTAGTTCCTCTAGTAGATGTTTTTATCACGTACAACTGTCATGCTACCTTCAAATGCAGAGTGTACACTAGCTTTTCTACAGTCTATAGACGTTAGTTTACTCTCATTAGGTTTTGCGATCGTTTCTTAGATAAGATGAGTAATATTTTGTACGGTACATTTTTATTTTAGGAAATACGTTCAATTTTGGTAGCAAAAGTGACAGTTAACAGTGCAGGCTTTGCTTTTAGTAAATTAACTCAGTTTTGTTCGAGTCATCGACAATTTAGTATAGACAATTGCGGAATCGCTCATTATTTCAGGGCGGTACATCTCGAAATAGTACACTAATAAACAAATTCCGAGTGAAATATGTGTAACGTGAGAGAGGATAATTAAGTCAAACTTAGTGAGAAAACTGATAACTTTATGGATGATAGGTAGTCGTCAATTCATCCTTATCATAATTAATGACATTAAGCTACACCACCTAATATCTTCAAACACTGGTGCTTAACACTTCTAGGAACCCAGTCGAGTCCCAGCAGTATATGTGTTATATGATAACATCTTCCAAAAGCATTTAAATGGAGACGTCTATAGAGGTGCGGATTGCCGGGTTGAGTTCTTCGGGATGCTGAGAATCAGTGGTTAGAGGATCTTGATAAAATGGCTTGAAATTGTCTAAACTATTGCAGATGTATGTAGTGCTTGTCATCTTTCATATCCCGTTTACCGGGCCCGCTTTTTTTCTATTATGGTACCTTTCTACTTCTGTTTCTCTGTCTTGTGTGTCTTTTGAAAGTGCTTCAACTTGAACTGATATATTTATAGACTAAGTTTTACGTTGATTAGTCAGTCAATCACTCACATGTTTCTACTTTCATCGTTTTCCAGGAATTTTCATAATTGTATTCAACCTGAATATCGATAGCTTGTCTGCAAATGTGATGTTTATCTTGCATTTACCTTTTAGATGTCACCAGATGAAGATAAAGAAAGTAATTATTATTAAAAATGAAAGGATCAACAGGATTTCAATATATTGATCGTGACCGGTTACTTTTAGCTGTTCATATTGCCAAGCGTGATGTTAAGTCTTTATCATCTAATGATTATGAAGATAATACATCAATTTATGAAGCATCTCAGAATTATAACGTGAAACCTGTTTCACCCTCAGTAGACAACCAATCTGACCAAAGTTTAATCAAGGTAATTACCACTTTAATCAATTCTATTTTTTTTAAATGTATTATGCTACCTGTAAACTGTTATATCAGGGGATTCGCTCTGTTTTATATTATGTGATTGGAAGATAGACGAAAACTATAATTCACACATCATTATCCAATATTGCCTATTCTTATCTAATGCTTTCTACAGTTAACTCTATACTCAATTAATGAATCAAGATAGATCTAAAGAAGCCTCAAATGATGGGAAACAAGATTGTTTCACAAGATCATAATTGTCTATGTCGAGATCAGTTCTTAGAGTAAACATATTTACAAAATATTTTTTTACGAAAACTGGTTATCCCCTTACACGTAGGTGAATGTATGGTGGATGGTGACTAGAGCGCATTTTCGTCTATTTGGGACTCGTCATCCGGATGTACCTCCAGTCCCCAGTGTTTGATGGTTTTCACACTGTCAGTCGAACTCAGTGCTCTTCATTTCAAACGCCAAAGCGTTATCCCCTAAACCCCGATAGGCACCTCTTGTGCAATGGGGATAAATTATAATTTCGTTTAAGTCAATTTTTGACTCAGGTCGAGTGGATCACGCTTTTGTGTGTGAAACGAAGGGTATTGGGTTTGAGTCCCGATGGGTACATTCAGATGACAAGCCCCAAATAGGACGAAATGCGCATCCTCAACTTTACTACTAGTCAATATCTACCAAATAACACCAGTGTTAATCCTCAGACACCATCTCAGCCTCCATTCTAGGAGCCGAAATATTTTGGTTCAATCAATCAAGAGGAAAGACGAGAATTGACTTGAAAAAGATGCATTTAGTTGGTACTTAATACATTACTCAGTGCTTCTAAGGTGAATCTGACCACGTTGCATATTTAATCGATAGATTTCGATTCCTAATTAAGATATCTACTCTTGGTTACAAGCCACTCCTACTGAGTATCCTTGATACCTTCAGTCAATTTATAGTAAGTCCTTTGATTTCACCATTAACTTGTATAGATTTGAAAGTCGAAGGAAACATTAATTTCTTAAATAGTCGCAGGTGAGTACTGACACACATGATTTCCAAGTCCATGGTGTGTGATCAGTAGACTTTTAATATTCTGTTATTGACTAAAGCTGGCAGGAGAAAAACCAATTGGATATTTATATATTTTGCAAGTCCCTACGTTTGGTAATATCACGATAGTAGTTTGATTATATACTGCTTTATCGTAAATGAAGTACATCTTAGGATATTCGTAAATGGAAAGAAACTATAAAAATGTGGCTGCCTTATTCTGCAAATTTACCCTTGTTGTATTTACGGAAATTTATTCTTTCCCAGTAATCATCTATCCGCTATATGAAAACTAAACAAATTTCAAAATAAAACTTTACACGAAAGTGCAGCAGTCCAAGTTGCTACGCTTCATAAAACACACATAAAGGTGGAGAAAAAGAGAATAGAAATGCGAAAAAGACAAACTATAACAACAGAGGGAAATATATCCGACAGACAGCAAAAATTTGGGAATAAAGAAAATGAAATGGATCTCAGAGGTCACAAAAAGTGAATGTTACGTCTGCGCCACTCCGAACGGTTTTGAGCCAAATAAACAGTATTCTCCAACCATTGATTGCTAGCATTTGGAAAACCCTAAACAGACAGTGCACCCCAACCTACGTCACTCAAATCAACAGTTAGAGAATTCATGGATTGGTAACATAATTTAGTTTCACCACTGCTAACTCTTCTCCAACCTATTCTTATGTTGACTAACATTGCTCGAGAAGGAAGGTGATAGCTTGGGATACATAACACGTGTCCTTTCCACCTCAATCGATGTAGCTTTACAACTTTATCGATCGACTTTCCCTCCTTACCTAACACTGAACGTCAAACTTCAATATTATTAACAATATTTTACCATTTAACATGAAAAGTAAAAGGCGAACACCTATTGTCAAGGACAGCTGACCTCTTCATCCTATCTGCTTTCAACAGCCATATTTCAGCCCTAATTTTTCCCAGTCTATGCTAAACAACCAGTTTTCATTATAAGAAATAGTTTTAGCAAAATTATGCAATCCCTACCTTTATTATTCTCATTAAAAACTTTTAACAGGTTAATAGAAACTTACGTCGAAAATGCAAACCAATTTTAAGTACACCCAGAATATCAGCTTTAAAAGATGATTCTCCACGTATAATATGTAATTCTACAGCTGATACTATACAACAACGAACATCTGAAAATAAAATGCCAGCACGTAGTGATTCTCCACCAATAAGAGATACAGACAGCTGGACTCCAAGTCGTAGACGTGCTCTTCATGAACCAACAGAAAGACAATTAAAAAATTCTCAAGTAAGTACTTGTTTTTTAATGGTTTACTGTTGAGCGGTGGTCGATAAAAAGAAAGTTTATTATTATTATTAACATTTATACTACGGGCTTTACTAGATAAGATGTTACTCAACCCAAATAGCGTAGTGGTAACGCCTCTCACTTCAGCACAGGGTGATGCCAGTTCGATTCCTTGAAGGGACATCACCTTTTATGAGGTTGTTGATGCACTCTGCTGATGAGTGGTAATAAGCATAAACCCTCATCCAGAGATTCCGGTCGACTGCTTAATAAGAAGTTACTTTTACCCCTAATTTTATAATATTATTAAATGACATATGTCCGTATGAATTTGATTTTATCGTTAAGAATTGGTAAAAATCTAGTTTCATAATCATATTTATTCATAACAACTACACCTAATCGGTTAGGTTTCAAGCTAATTATGTCAGATCTGTTAGGTAGTTCTTTTATGGCTTTGAAGAATCACGGAGCAGCATTAAGTTGACATAAGATTAACTGACCAGTATGGAGTGTCTTTCAAAGATATATCGGCGCTTAATTTATGACAGAATTTCAGCATGACTAGTTTTCGGTTGAAGTTATCACACTCCACATGAGCTCATCAAAATGAAGTGAAAAATAGAGGGGGGAGGGACTGTGGCGAAGAACAAACAAAATATGTATGTGAAGAAGTAAAAAGGAATGAAAAGTGTTTAATATTAACATTCGTAGGATTTAGATGGAGATAAGTTCGAGATATATTAGGGGAAGAAAGGGAAAAAGAAAATAGATGTCTTCCCATATTGCCAATTGCTTGTAATCTTGTAACGTCAAATTATGAATTATACATAGAACTAGAAATTGTTTATTTGTGTCTCTGACCTTTGATATATTTAATCGTTGAAATTTCACCCCTTGTCTTGATGATATTCTCAACAAATCGTTCTTGATGAAATTTAGGGTCAATGATGGAAACCATGGAGGGCTGGACAACTGTTTCGCCCTTGTTTGGGAATCCTCAGCGTTATACACCCGTGATCTCAAAGGCGATAGAAACCAGGACCTTTAGGTTACTAGGCGAGCTCTCACACCATTGAGCCTCTCGGACGAAATCCACTGTTCAGTCCATGAATTCTGACTTCTGTCAATTTGTGATATACAGCACCACCGGCAGTCAATGTCCATTGGCGGGTACTGATCCTCACACCAAACTTGGTTGACCCTGCTGGTCATGACTTCCCATCAGAACTTCGAAGAAATTCATCTTGTAGTTAGTCAGTCATTAGCGAACACTTGATTAATTTTTAAGTTTTGGTTAGCAGAGGTTTAATTGATTTCAAGTCTGATCACGAACTGACTTCAGTTAGAAAACCATCATTTCTCAGTACTTACTGACTTTTGGACAAAATTGCCTGACGTTCTTGTGGGAGGTGGTGATCAACGGGGTTCATCAAGTTGGGTATGAAGACTAATGCTCGCCGATGACATTGACTGACGGTGGTGCTGTATGGCACAAGTTGGAGGGAGTTGGGATTCATCTACTGCCATTAGATTCTATCCGAAAAACTAGATGGTCAACGGGCTCGCCTGGTAACCTGAAGGTTTTGGGTTCGATCCCCTTTTGGGTTATGAGTGTGTGATGCTGAGAGTTCCGAAAAAAGGAAAAAACGGTTGTCTAGAACTCCCTAGTTCTCAGTGGTCTTCTAACTGAAGTCGGTTCATGATCTAACTTAAACTCTGTCTAATCCCTGTAAACCAACACTTCAAATAAATTTGTTTAGCTCTTGGGCTGCTACTCTGACTGTTCACTAATGCTGTTGACTTTTACTGTCTAAATCTATTTCCAGGAATCTAGAATACGTCAATTACAAGCCAAAATGTCTCAGTATTCAGCTGCATTGGAAGAACTTCAACAATATTATTTATCAGACAAAGCTTCACCTCGCGAATCCATAAAACACAGTGAAATTGTGAAAAAACCTCCAGTGAAGCGGTCTATAAATAGACCGAAATCATCATCAGTATCAGGTTCAATTATACGTCCAAAACCAGTAATTCTGCGTCCTCGTTCAGTTCACGCGTCTAATACAAAATATCCAAGTAAAATACAAAGATCGACTTCATTTAATGGTATAAAATCAAAAGACGACCATTATTCAGTCTCTTCAATTCCTATTTCATCAGATGTTGACAATCATTATGACTCTAAAATTCATTCTCTTTGGAAGGAAGCTGTTGATTCGCTTAATTTAAATGGATCTGATGTTGTTCTCCTTCAACCGGATAAATCAGAAACATTCAGGGTAAAGTTTGAATATTTTTGTCATTTATGTTGTCTGTGAATAATCTTTGGGCTTTTAAATAATTACCTCGGGGTTGTTTACTTCATTTCATGTTATCAATATTCGCTTGGGTTCCCACTTCACCTTGTTCTCTGGAGTCCTTTTTAGCTGACATCACGACTACTCATGTGCTTTCATTTCCTCATCACGCGATCTCCTCTATATTGCTCTCGGACGCCCAACTCATTATTTCTCATTCGCGTTTTATTCAATAACCCGGCGCGTGATGTCATTCAACAGCGAATATGTACAATCCATCTTCATTTCCTTCTGGATATTCGTTGGTTAATAGATTGTTGGCTGATTCGTTGTCTGTTCAAGTTCCTTGTTGCTTATCCTTTCTAATCATCTGATCTTCAGTATCAAGTCAACGACGATTTAGCTGTTGATGAGTGTACAGTCTGATGGAAATACTTTCTGTGACGCACACACCAAGTCTCTGAACCATATACAAGCACTGACTTGATATTACTGTTGGATAGAATTGGAATTTTCTTCCTTTTACTGAATGTAGCGGATTTTCACACTGATTTCAGATTAATAAAGGTTTTGTCGTACTTTCCCAATCCTACCTTTAATACCCTGATTTGTGTGCTGTGTGTAGTTGGGACGACGCTATCTAAGTAAGTGTTAGAGACGACTTACTTCAAATTTCTACTGTTGATAATATTTGATAAGAATATACAAATCGCCGTGATATAATTGTAAGCAATAAATTGTACTTGAAACGTCATCAATAAGTAATACGGTATAACTGGGTGTGTTTGTATCAGTTAAATTTACTCTCTGATGGGATTACACAAACTTTTCTTTGCTAAAATGATCTTTTTTTGGTTTCCTTTTGTTTCTGTTCATTGACTGCTATCTAGGCACTGCAATAGTAGCTTATATAATTGTGGTTTTAAATGATTCAACTTGATATCTCATAAGGTAGGAAGGTGGAAACTGTTTTGGTTTAGTGATGAATGTCAGCAAATAAGAAACTGTAGTCTAAGGTACACTATAGATATGACCCATCAGCTTAAACATTCGACTTTTAACCATTGGGCTCCAGGCCCTAATCTTGCTACGCCTGCTTTTGCATGTGGAAAGTGGAAGTATCACCAGTTCTTATTCAATAGGTGTATTTCATAGCAGTGTTGGTGGTTCAGTGATAGGATGCTTTTAAATCACACACCTTGTCCGGTGTGCAATCCCCAGATGAAGCACTCCTAAACATCGCCTAATCTACTAGCCGATAGTAAGCACAGAAAACGGAGAAGATTGGGCATGTCTCTATCAACTCCACCCAGCACAATAACACCAGAGCTATTGAAACTTTGAAGCTGAAGCTTAAGGCCCTATGTTCCACGCAGAATTTAAGGTAGTGAAAGGGAGGGGTTTTCTTGTTTGATGGTTGCTTGCAGTGGGATCCAGGATGCACATTTCGTCCTGACAGCTTGACGTAATCGCGTCTCAAATGTCTGATGCTGTTGCCAACATGACTTGAAGCCAGAACCATTCATTTCAAACTTCAAAGTAACATCCATTAGACTACTGAGCCACATCAGTTGTGGCAGCTGACTTAGGTATTCTATAAAGTGTAAATTTTTTAGCATCACTTTTTTAGACAAACTTACACTAACTTAGAATGTCCATAAACTCACCATAATTTGTTATGGCTTGTTCATAAGCTTATTAAGTTAATTGTCTTTATACACTTTCCAATGTAGACTATTTAGACAAGTGAAACTATGAAATGTTACATATCTAATTCATTCATTCATTTCGAATCGTATTTCCGATATACACTGTTGGCTTAAGATGAAAATTTTCCAGATTCTATAGATTGATTTTTCCTATTTAAAAGGCTTACTGATAAACACCGAACATTCGTACTCACCCTTTTACTTTTGTGGAGACCTACTTTGTCATGTGATGGGAATTAATAAAACTCCACTTTAAACCATATAAGAAAATATCAGCAGAAAGATCAAGTCCATTGACTGTCAACAATAACAAACAGAGTATTTAGACGGTAGGACCGACGTGTGATAACATTCTACCGTCATTTATCTCGCAATCGATTTCCACGTATATAGAGGTGGAATTTTTTAGTTTACCCCGGTTTTTAGTAATACCACGAGTTTCTCACGCTTCAGAATCGATCGGTGATTTTACTTCAAAGTTTGTTTTGTAAGTATAAATATACTCAAGCTTTTTAAAATTAATATCTGCTATCGCTTTTTGATTTCATACAAGACATCACTGCGGTATTACTAACTTATAATATATATGATAGTGATATTGGGTGCTTGATTGTTAGTATATTTTGATAGATACGTCAAAGAATATTGTATAATTCGGAGACATGATATTTGTTTATTTTGGTGGTTATGAGCCACACCTATCCGTCTGAGGGCTTATAATAGTATTGCATTGCCCTCAGACTGAATCGTGGGGAAGTAAGGTTTAAATTCAGAACACATTATTTGGTAATTGAATTCTGTAGTCAATGAACTATACCTGCATTCTAACAAGACATTAAGTATGCGTAGTAATGAAAAACACTGTAATGAAGATAATTTGTTTAGTTGGTGTTTACTTAATCGATTTTAAGGCTGATCTTATCCGGAACTGAAATAAGCAGGCAAATTCGAACAAAAATGAAGTGTATTGGAGGGGAAAAGCTGTCAGATGCTTTGTCGTTCTGAATGGTTGTTCCATCTGAGGCGATAATAATTGCTGAAAATATTCACATTCTTGATTTTATTTGGTTAAATGGTGGCTAGCAATAGGATTCAGCATGCGTGTTGCACTATCAGATGGATGCAGTTGTGCCACTGAGACTCGAACCTATTGCCCATCATTTTGAGTACTAAAGCGTTTAACATTAGTCTATTGATGCATGAAAACCACCTATTGTGTAACATCAGTTACTCATTATTTAATAAAATCATTTTGAATTTCCTACCGATTGACTTTACTGGGTGCTTTTGTTCCTAGTACATACAATATAATTATTCCTTGAAGTTGATTTGTTGGTATTTGACATCTGAAACGATGGGTTCTGACTTCGAGTCCTGGTGGTGAAATCATCACTCAGGCATATACGTCTGAGGCTTAAATAAGACGAAACGCTCGATCTGGATTCCGTTGTCAGCTACCATTGTAACGACAGAAGACAAGGGCCAGGCAACAGATCGTTTAATGAGAAAATCAACATAAGTAAATAGATTTTTATGTACATTATTATTAGTTATTGCTAGCAGAGAAGCAACGTCTTTTGATTGGTTGTTTTCCTGCTGAAAGTTATGCTGTCATCTCTTTGTTACCGTTTCTTAGACAGTCTGGTGATATATCTGCGAATCGTATCCACCCACACTAAGTTTGCTTTGATTGGTTGTTGAGTTCCTCAAGGTTAGGCTTTGTTCTTGTTTTTTCTCATGACCCCGATTTGGGTAGTAAACATTGACGTCAACTGTTGTCTACAATTTTGTCTTGTAGACAGCTCTCACCACATCATGAGTCGAATAACGTCAAATTAATCTCAAGATGTCATTGAAGTGTTCGTATCCCGAGACGACGTGTTGACAGAGGCTGAACATTTCGGTCCAATAAAAGCAATCAACTGGAACTTCAAATAATTTTAATGAATAACCTTACTCTTTCTGTTTGTTTTTCATCTAAATTCTTTTTATTTAGGAAGAGAATTTACAGAGACCCGTATACACATCTGTCAATAATCATCACAGTCGAATTTCACCTAGCCAACCTGATACCAATACAAAAGAATCATGTAATTCACTTTCTTGTTCATCATAATTTTTTCTTCTTTTTTATCCCTTTGATTCCTAGTGGAATATGTGGCTTCTGGCTTGAGGATTTTAAAGTAATAGTAGCTGTCTGGTTTTTATTGGGTCAGCTGGCCAGGACGTCATGTCCAACCTTCCCTTTTTTCCAGACCTACTATCAGTTAGCAAACTGAGTGAGGTTAAGGAGTGCATCGACCAGGAATCGAACCCCAGACCGCGTGCTTGGTTGTTGAGCATTTTACCACCGAGACACAATTGAACTCAATAGGGGATCGAACTTAGGACGTTCAGGTTACTAAACAAGATTGACACATGAAAGATCTGTTCAAGGTAGCTGAGTTCATATTCAATCTCGAATAAAGCCTAGTCATTGTAATATATTCAGTTGCATATAATCACACAATAAGATTAGATAGGGTAAAAATATTAGAGAGTAATATAATTAGATGGAGAAAGATTTTTTTACCAAATAGTTGTTTTTATAGAGTTAATGACGCATGCATGCAATAGAAATGACACAACACCTCTCCAGAATGCATATAAAATCTGGCATTAAAAAAGGAGAGGAGAGAGAGTGTAAAGCCATGTAAAGTAAACTAAGAAGTTGAACAATTGAGTTCGAAATGTCACTGATACCGTATTACCGTCTGTTATATCTAATAAAATTATCTGATGTAGAATTTGTTTATGCGAGTTTGACCACGGATTAATATGAGTTAGAGAACCATTGAAAACCAGGGAGTACTGGACAGCTGTTTCATTCTAGTTTGAGAACCATCGGCAGTACGCAGCCACACTGCAGGGTTCGAACCCAGGACCTTCCGGTTACAAGTCAAGCTCGTATACCATTCATCCACTGGGACCCTATTCAATGGCCAGCCTAAGAATTCTAACTTCTACCAATTCGTGATTTAGCGCGATCACCAACCAATGTCATCGGTGGGAAATCCATCCTCACACTTGACTGGATGCACCTCACTGGTCACAACTTCTCGGTAGAACTCCAAGAAACTCTGTCCTGTAGCAAGTCACTAGCGAGCATCAGATTAATTGCATTCTGCCATAGTGTTACAATTCTACTAGTATATATTTTGTCCTTTGAGGTCAAATTGTAATTAGAATTACAATCATGATCAAAACAAGAAGAGGATATTGTGCAGGATAGAATGACGTCATTATATCTCGTTGGTTCTTGTTGTCAGCTGCATTTAACCATAAACAATTTAGTATCATTGCACAAAATATTTAAATACTGTAATTATTGATCATAAAGAGTCAAGAGTAAATGATAGATACCACAGTGAAATGACCTTGAACCGACCAGTGAGGTCGCTCAACATTACAAATGAATACCTTTCTTACTCATCACTGAAAGTTTCACCTTGATTTAGGGTTAGGATAGGATTAAGATAGTTTTATAGTTAAGGCTAGAATGAAACTTGCAACCATGATTATGGGTTACATCCATTTGAAATGCTGAGTGATGTGACTATCATCATTAGATTATATTCATCATAAGGTCAATCCTTCATCAGAATCAATGTATCCTATTACCGGTACTCAAAAGTCTCTGGTTTGTTTACTATAGACCTTTTTTGCAGCATATTAGAGAAATATGCCCAATATAACTCATTTTTGTTGTACATATTATCCAGTAAACATATTTTTTAATACTACAAATACCACTTTTTACCTAGAGGCATATGATTGGCCAGTTCAAGGTCATTTCCCTGTGATATCTACCCTTTTACTGTTGCGCCTAAAGGTGATGGAGAGGCAGAATGCTCGTCAAACACTCACGTGGTCCGTGGTTCAATCCCAAGCTGACGCACTCCTAAACCTCACTTAGCTGGTAATAAGTTTGGCAAATAGGGAAGGTTGGGTGTGTGGCTAGCAAACCTATCGCGTAAAAGTGAAACCGCTGCTACCGAAATCAATAAAGCTCAAGCTTGAAGCCCTGTGTTCCGCTGGGAATGTAATGGTATAAGAATATAAAGGTGATTGATATTTAATATCACGTGATTTAGTAGGGATACAAGCTGTTGTTAGATTCGTTCGTACGTATTAAAACATAAAGAAATATTCTAGAATTATGAATGAACGTCACAGATTGAATATATAAGCGTAAAATCAACAATACACTTATGTAAGGGTCAAATGATTTAGTTGAACAGAGGTCAAAAAGGGGTCTAGTGAAGAATGTAGATAAAAGCAACAAAAAAAAAAACGATTAAATAACGTAAAGTATATTCATCCGAGGTAAAGCAAAATTAACAACAATTTTTCTTTTGAATGTGTAAATTTGGTTTTAATCGTTTAATCACATTCACTTCAGTGATAGATACGTCGTAGCAATTTTGGAGCTGTCTCGAACTTTAATTATCTTAAGAGATTTTAATGCGTCGATTTCTTGACCACTGTCTAACAGATAGCCAGTAATTGCACTACTAAGCACTTTTGCACCTTTCAGACGCAAGTTTCTTGAGATATGTTCAGATATACGGTCACAAATCCTGCTTTCTGTTCGTCCGATGTATGAAAGGCGACGAGGATCTTGTCAGTCTTAGAGTGTTTCAGTGGGCCTTTCATTCAGTGAATTGTGACTAGTCTGGTAGCTAGATAAATTCTTTTGAGAGCTGCGTTTTTTCTATATTTAATTCTTTTGGATACTTCATCACCTTTGAATTCAAGATTAAGGAAGATTGGTTTCTTTTCTATTATATCAGATGTTTTTATATTTGATATCTATTCTCTTGTATTTATCAGTGAATTGATACTACCAAAATTGATCATAATGACACAGTTATGTTCTTCTTGGTTTGTTCAATTTTGACCATAGCAATAAGAAGGCGTAATTTGTCTGAATCGTGTGTGTAGTGTATTTGCGCAACACATTTCGAACAATCTGATCACATACAGACTTGTTATAGGATTATATATGAAATTAATAAATAAAGAGTTCAGAGGTGAGAATATAAATTCAGGTCAAGTTAAAAGGACATATTGAAGATCAAAATAACAATGAAGATCACCAAACCAAATAACAGAGGTAAAAGTACATCTACTCTGCCTGATATCAAAACAAAGTTTACCAAGGAAGGTAGGCTTAGTGTGATGACGAATTGTTACTTTGATCGGATAAAGGTGGTTTAAACTTTCTAATTGCCAGCTAGGGCTTCCACAAACTCTTGGATACGTCCCAAACACGTTTTATAGATAGGTTTAAAAGATGTGTTAACGTTAATTTTATGTTCTGTTTCTATAATAAGTTTCGGAATAGAGGAGCTAGGTCTCCCGTTCTCACCACTAATGGGTTCTGAAGATTTCATTTGTTTTTGGAGCCATTTAGGAATATACTCTGAAACCCTTACTTGCAGAGATCGACGAGTCCTCCCTATGCATATGTGTCCACACGTACATTCAAATTGGTAAATACAGTGGGATGTGACATCATTTTTCGCATGTTCAAAGGGCTAAGACAGATAGATATATTGGCTTCACATTCTCAATTAATTATGATCTTAGCTGCATAAAAAGTCTTTTTAACAGCAGCTTTCAATCTTTGTCTAGTTATCAAGCTGCTATGATGCCCATATAGGGTAGCTTGATGTACACGTCTTTCTTAGGGGCGAGTTGAAGAGTGGGTCTTGGTGTTCTGACTACTTTACATCTATATATATATATATATACACTACACGATTCAGACAAATTACGTCTTCTTATTGCTTTGTCTAAATTCATAAATGGAACTAATTGTTTTAAATTGCTCAATTTTATCAAAGAAAATATTTGTATAAAAGCTTGAAACCATTGAAATGTGGTTATCTAACTGATACCGTTTCATGACAAAAGATACCCTTGAAATCAGTTAAATGCCTAACATATCGACCACTTGAAAATTCTGCAAGTTTCTGTATGAAGATATCCTCATTTCTCAGAAATTCTAAATATACTATCTTGTATATATTTCTATAATTCTTCAGATTCTACTCATGACAGCGTACTTTGTTCTGCTATGAAACAATTATTATTACAAATTGATGAAGCTGAAATTGAAGAGAATGAAATACGTCGTCGATGGGCTAATAAATTAACTCCTGTTAGTAATGGTTCACATTCATTGACTAGTTACAATCCTCCTCCACCTGTAAAAATCCAATCAACATGTACAAATCATAAATTGGATACGTGTTCCACGTAAGTGATAAATGCGTAAAAATGGTTTTATTTTTCACTCGTTTTGTTGTTCATTCATGAAGTTTGAGTTTGTTGTGTTGCTCTATTTGACCAAACTAGTGTACGCGCGTATATCCTGGTGTAACGACAGAAGATAAGGGCCAGGCAACAGATAGTTTATTGAGGAAATCAAGAGTTAATTATATATTTTTATTTGCATTATTATCCGTTATTATTAGCAGAGAAAGAGCGTCTTCTGATTAGTTGTTTTCTTGCTGAAGGTTATTCTGTCATCTCTTTGTGACCGTTTCTCAGAATGTCAGACCATATATCTGCGAATCGTATCTTCCCACGCTAATTCTGCTGTGATTGGTTGTTGAGTTTCCCAAGGTTGGGCTTCGTTCTTCTTTTTTCTCATGTGACTCCGATTTGGGACGTAAACATTGACGTCAATTGCTGTCTACCAATTTTGGCTAGCAGAGAGCTCTCACCACACTGGTACTTTTTCGAGTTTATTATTGTGTCCTAACACTGCTTACTCGACATCCACAACATAAATCAAAAGGCACTTGAGCAAGAGTACGAATATGTATTCTCACAGTAGTCAAAATTCAAAAGTTGAGCGACTACAATGTATCAATAGTTATCATGCAATCTTCGGAGTGATAAACAAATCAAAGTCCAATTACATAGTCAAAGTATAATACGATGTTGAATAATAAAATGGGTCACTACAAGTTTTATACCCTTGAATATTTTGTATATTTTTTAAATTAGATTTTATTTAGCAACAACAGTAATGATGAAACTCAGGGACCTAATAGACGCTCTTCTATTGTGTTCTGAGGTTTGAAATACTACGAAATCACTGTGGTTGAAATAAACAGAGGTGGATTTCAATACTGGTCTGGATATAGTTGATTTCATGCGCTGGGTCACAGATTGACATCATTTAGAGAACCCACTGGGTGGGAAATACTCAAATCCTTGCAAATCAAACCTTGAAAATTAATCTAAAGCTCATTAGTGACTCAGTACAGGAATGAAGTCTCTTAGAGTTCTACCGTGAGAAATCGTGATTAGTTGGGGGTCCACCATGTTGGATGTGAAGACAGATATTTGCTGATGATATTGGCCTATAAGTCTTAAATGGACAGGGGTAAAAATTCATGTACTGGTCATGGGATTCCATCCCAGTGGTTGGATGGTCGGCGGGTTGTCCCCGTAACTTGAAGGTTGCTGGTTTTATTTTTGGTGAGATCAGGGGTACACACTGTTGAAGAGTCTGAAGCTAGAACGAAATAGGTGTCTAGTATTTCCTGATTTGCAATGGTTTTCTAACTAAAGTCAACTCGAAATTAACCAAATCCATGCGTAGAGCTACACTAGATGAAGAATTCGCCCGGGGTGGGGCAGATATCTGAACCAATCAGCTATACCTCCAATGTTTTTATGCCTCTTAGATATAGAGCCAACTATGAGAAGTCAAAAATTATGGTGGTTACTTTCCATTTTTTTGTTGTAGTTAAGAGCGACTTAGTATTTCAAGGTGAATGTAAAAAGAACATGGCTGATGGGACAAAATCTATGTGTTGGAACCAAATACTATTAACATTAACAAAACTATAAACATAGCATAAATTTCACTATTTACAAGTACTATCAATCGTTCTGCATTAGGGATGACTTTTTATTAATTTTCTGTCACTTGTTTAGTTCTTCGTGGAATTGTAAACCTCTTCTCACATTTCTTCTTCCTCAGTAGCCTTTCAATTGACATTTCTGAGAAAGTTAGTTTACCTATCTTTTCATAAATAGAACAAACCGCATTGGGTGTTGAATCAAACTCACAGTTTATAACTTACACAGTTGGTGGTAAACTTCACTACAATTTCTGGTGACAGTAAGATATGGCAACCCAAGCGAATAGTGAATATATAGTAAGATGCGCAATTTAAAAAAATTCCTAATAGAAATCAAATAAGTAGTAAGAACTAGTTATACAGATTAATGATCCCTTATACGTTTTAGGGATGTCTCCCAGTTCCTCATTGGAGTGAAGTGGTAGGACTTGTTGATCGCTTTATTTATTTGGGAATTCGCGTCAGTCTTACTGGGTTAATTAACCTCGCCTAGATTACTAGGTCACTAGTATTCTAGCCGGTCCCAAGCCCGGATAAAGAGGGAGGGTTGGGGCGTGGTGCTAGCAACTCCACCCCCAAAACTTAACCAAATTGCTACTAAAACTTCAACGCACAAATATATTCAAAATTCTAAAATTACAAATAGTGACCTTATTTTTCGCTGGAATCGGGGAAGTGAAATGACGCGGGCTGGTGAAAGCCTTCGGGAAGCCAGTCAGCCGATGTGCCTTCTTTCTTTCGATGAAAGCGAAAATAAGGATGGGGACGTGGAATGTTCGTACAATGTACGAAGCTGGGAAGGCTGCTCAGGTAGCCGCAGAAATGAGGAGATATAGAATAGAAGTGTTGGGAATCTGCGAGAGCAGATGGAACGGATGTGGAAGGAGCCAACTATCAACTGGAGAGACAATAATCTACTCCGGTCACCCAGAGGACAATCACGAGCACACCGAGGGAGTAGCCATCATGATGTCACCAACAGCAGCTAAAGCTCTCATGCAGTGTGAAGCAATCTCCTCCAGGATAATGACAGCCAGGTTCAACTAAAAAGGAATGAAGGTTACAATCATTCAATGCTATGCGCCTACAAACGTCTCGGAACAAGAGAAGAAGGAGGATTTCTACAGTCAACTAAAACAGTAATGGACATGGTCCCAAAGAGCGATATCAAAATCCTGATGGGCGACATGAATGCGAAACTGGGAGGAGACAATACAGGAAGAGAACTCACCATGGGTCGTGAGGCCCTCGGTGAAATGAACGAAAATGGTGAACTCTTCTCAGACTTCTGCGCCTTCAATGATTTGGTGATTGGTGGCAGTGTGTTCAAACACAGGGATATACACAAGGCAACATGGATTTCACCAGATGGACACACCAAAAACCAGATAGACTTCATTTCAATCTCAAGGAAGTGGAGACGGAGCCTACTGGACACAAGATCGAGGAGAGGAGCAGATGTGGGTTCAGACCACTATCTAGTACAAGGGACTTTCAAGGTGAAGCTGAAAGCCTCGAGGATACCTGGGGATAGGCCACAATGCAAGTTCAACACTCACAAACTGAAGGACACAATCACACAGGACATTTTCACTGCAACTGTCAGAGCAAAGCAGGAAACACTACGTGGCACCACTGAGGAATCATCCGTGGAAGACCATTGGAACTCTCTGAAGGTAATTTTCAACGAAACGTGCTCAACGGTTTTAGGAAGAAAGAAGAAACAAGACAAGGAATGGCTCTCAACAGACACTTGGAAACTAATAGAGGAGAGGAGAAAAGTGAAAGAGAAAATGATTCAATGCAAAGATGGACAAGAGAAAGAGACGCTGAACTCAACTTACACAGCACTGGACAAAGAAGTGAAGAAGAGTGCCAGGAAGGACAAAAGACAATTCTACGACAACCTGGCTACTGAAGCTGAGAAGGCAGCAGGCAAAAGGGACCTGAGGACACTATATCAGATAACCAAGTCTCTATCTGGGAAGAGATCAACACAAGTGAAACCTATAAAAGACAGCCAAGGGAACCCAATTACCAAAGAAGAAAGACAGATTAAACAATGGGCGGACCACTTCAAAGGACTCTTGAACCGACCACCACCTACAACCCGTCCAGTAATACCAACAACAGCACGTACACAACTGCAAGTTGACACCAATCCTCCAACGAAAACTGAAGTCATGAATGCAATCAAGCTTCTGAAAGCTGGAAAAGCAGCTGGACCAGATGGAATACCCCCGGAAGCACTGAAAGCGGACCCAGAAACGACGGCAGATATGCTGACACCATTATTGCAAAATATCTGGAAAGAGGGAAAGGTGCCTACTGACTGGAGGAAAGGTTACCTGGTGAAACTACCAAAGAAGGGCGACCTGGGACTCTGCAAGAACTGGCGAGGAATCATGCTCCTGTCGACGCCAAGTAAAATCCTGAGTCACATCATCCTGGAGAGAATCAAGGACGCGCTGGATACAGAACTCCGACCAGAACAAGCTGGATTCAGGAAAGGCAAATCATGTTCTGACCAAATTGCAACTCTACGCATTATCATCGAACAAAGCATGGAATGGCAATCAAATCTCTACCTCAACTTCATAGACGTTGAGAAGGCCTTCGACAGCGTTGACCGCGAAGTAATTTGGAAACTACTCGAGTACTACGGCGTACCGCAAATATTCATCAACCTTATTCAACAACTGTACGACAACGGCACATGTCAAGTGATCCACAACGGAAAACTCAGCGAAGCGTTTGGAGTAAACACAGGAGTCAGACAAGGGTGCTTATTATCACCAATGATATTCCTAATTGTGGTGGACTGGATTATGCGTCAGACAGTGGGAAACGAGAAGACAGGGATATCCTGGACCGACGTGAAGAACCTAGAAGACCTGGATTTTGCGGATGATTTATGTTTGATGTCACACAAAATCGAAGACTTACAAGCAAAAACCGACAAACTGGTCGAAGAAGCAGCAAAGACAGGACTCCAGGTGAACATAGACAAGACGGAGGTTATGAAAATAACCAACCAACAACAGCAGCAACATTCAGTGCCAATCACCATCAACGGGAGGGATTTGAAAGAGGTTACTTCTTTCACTTATCTGGGGAGCATTGTCTCAACCACAGGAGGAACGGACGAGGATGTCAAATCGAGAATCGGGAAGGCGAGAAACACATTCATCAACCTGAAACCAATCTGGAAATCTTCGTCACTCAGTATCAACAACAAAATTCGGATTTTCAATACAAACGTCATGTCAATTTTGCTTTACGGATCAGAAACTTGGCGGGTCACCAAGAATATTTTCAACAGGTTGCAGACCTTTATCAACAACTGTCTTCGCTCCATACTGAAGATTAGATGGCCAGAAAGAATCACAAACAAGAAGCTATGGGAACAAACGAAACAGGAACCAATCGCCCAACAAATATGCAGGAGGAAGTGTAGATGGATTGGACACTCGCTGAGGAGGCCGTTGAGTGACATCGCGCGTCAAGCCCTCGAGTGGAACCCGAAAGGGAAGCGGCGAGTGGGACGTCCAAGGGTGACATGGAGGAGATCGTGTGAGGAGGAGATGAAACAGTATGGAATAACATGGACGCAAGTGAAAAGAACAGCAGAAGACAGAAGCAAGTGGAGACGTGCAGTTGAAGCCCTATGTTCCACTAGGAACCCAAGGGAACAATAATAATAATAATAATACTGGGTTAATTGCCAATGAAGCTTCAACACGGATACAAAAGGGTCATCTTTGGCTTAGACATAATATCCGGCTATTGATGAAAAGACGTGTATGCCGCACATCAGTTCTCCGTCCTCCTTTCGGGTCTGTGAGATACGGCCATTGAAAGTGGAAGACATGAAAAAGACTAGCTGTCTTTGATCGTAGGTGTCTGCGTTCTATTTCCCGTGTTAGATGAGCAATATTGAGGTTGGGTGTCGAGTGTTAGATAAGGAGAGAGAGCCAATCGATGAAGTTGTGAAGGTACATCGACTGAGATGGCTAGGGCATATGTTACGTATGTCCTAGCCGTCGCCTGTCTTGATGAGCAATTTTAGCTGACATATAGGATCAGGTTAGAAAAGAGCTAGTGGTGGTCGGACCAATACTTAGTAGCACTACTTAAAATCATCGATAGTTATTTTGGGCCACGTGGGAGGTATAGACTGCTGTTTGGTTCGAGTCCTTGGGATTCTAAGAACTAATGACTGGAGATAATTGGTGATAGGGTTCGAAATCGTTCTCAATGGCGCTGATGCATTCACTGTTTATGATCTGCTGTTGTTTTTCCATGTTACTATTCATTATCCCTCACAAATCTGCTTATTATCATCCTTTTGAATCTATTTGTTCTCTCCTTTGTCAACCTTAATGTACTACCTAGAGTGTAGCCACTTGAATTGATGCACTTCTGTGTAAAGTTCTGTGTTGAAACCAGTCAGTCATTGGAGTCTTAGTGTTAGTCCAAATCAATTTCGGTACATGAATTCATCGAGATGATTGTATTGTGGATCTATCCGAGTGACGACGACTATCTCTATTCATCAGTGGGAGCTACATTCCCTCTGTAAATGCATTACTCCTTCATATATACATGTTTTGTTCCCTCCTGTTGGCCGATTATCCAGACATTACTGAATTAATAGATCTGGCTGACATGTGTAACGTAGTTCGTACACTTCATCCATATTTGCACATTTTTACTATGGTTTTATCTGTTTTTGGTTGTTCATAGTCATTTTGATGGTCGTTCGCTTTAGCCTCTATACTTTACTCTAAACCAGTTTCCTTTGGGACTCGAAATTATTCGGATCACTATATGTGTGATCTTTTTGATACCCCACTTATATGACAATCAAAAGAAAAAGCAAGTATAAATGCTTCCGAAGGAAGCTGTGGGGGAAGTTTCACCTTGAATTCTGTAAATTGCAAATCCGGAGCAAATTTGAAAATATCTAATTCGCTTGATGTGAACTGATTCAAACCTGGTATACCGTTGATGAGCTCTGCTGTCAACTAGCAAAATAGCTGTCTGACGTTTAGATTACTTCAATCTTGCTGGCAAGCAAGCACTACTTGTCTATGTGAGTGGTATTCGACTACTCATATCCATCAACCAGTAGTACATAGCATCATGCAGTAGATGTGTTAGTTAGCTATTATATGCTGTTAATATTTGTTCATCATAATGTTTGTTATATGTTATGCATAACAAATAGTTGTTTAGTGGTAAGATTTGTATGAATTTTGGATGAGAACTCCAACTGACCTTGGGTAGTTATTACTTTTCAGGTATTGGTTTTTGTAGGCATTGTGTTTAATTGATTGGAGGGTTTCATCATGAGCTGGCATCAGTTAGAGAACCATTGAAATACAGGCTGGGAGTACTTGACAGTTGTTTCGTCCTAGTTTGGGACTCTGCATCAGTATGCTCCCACTGGGGTTCGAACCCAGGACCTCCTAGTTACAAGGTGAGCTCGTAGACCATTAAGTCACTGGGACCCGATCCAGTGGTCAGCCCATGAATTCCAACTTCTGCTAAATCACGACATAGCGCGACCACTTCGCAATCTCTTCTTACTTTCACTAAAGGAACAAAGTTCAATGATAAGTGGGTGGGAGCATTTCCAAGTGCTGATTTGCAAGGATTTGATTGATTTCAATTTCGATTACGAATTGACTTCAGTTAAAAAAACTATTGTAAGCTAGAGATTACTGAACGGCTGTTTCGCTGTTATTTGGGACTCATCAGTTGCCCGCACCCATAGTACCACTGGGGATCGGAGCCAGGGCCTTCAGGTTACAAGGTGGACCCGCGTAACATCCAGCCGTTGGGATGGAATCCAATTGCCCATGAATTCCAACTTGTGTCAGTTCGAGATATTACATAGCGTGACCGCCAACCAATGTCATCGGTGAGCTATCTGTTCTCAAGTCCAGCTTGGTGGCTCGCACTAACCATGACTTCCTAGCACAGCCTCAGACAACTTCATCCTGTATTCAGTCATTAGTGAGCATTAGATTCATTTTCATGTGTTGGTTTGCCAATGTTGTCTATTTTGTCTCTTAAAATCTGAGCGAAAAAATACTCTTAATATAAATTATTCTGTCTAATCAGATGTAAACTTGATTGACTTTTTATACTGTTAATGTACATATAATCGTTTACCTATTTTTCTCTCTTTTATTTGTTATTTTCCACTTACTGTAAAGGTCACACGGCGATTTTCATTCACAACTGAAGTACAAACCGTTTACATGCCCTAATCCTTCCAATGAATCTATTCAATCATCATTTAGTAAAAAGGTAATTATTTCATTTAGGTTTTCTGGATTCTGCTTTAAATACATTATCATTATTATTTTTACATTTAAGTATATTTATGTCAGTCAGGATAAGAAATATACAGCATATGATATATTCAAAATAGTGACTTACATGTAGAGAGTTTTGATATATTATAAGGTCTAATTGCTGACTCTGATGGTATATGCTACTGAAAGGTATATCTGAGAATTATATTGTTTTATGTGCGTCGATGGTTCAGTAATGAAGTGTTCTCCAACCACGCCTCACGGGGTACGGGATTCGATTCACGGCCGACTTACTCCTTAACCTCATTATTATTATTATTATTATTATTATTATTATTATTATTATTATCCCCTTGGGTTCCGAGTAGAACATACAGCTTCAACAGCATACCTCCACTTTGTCCCATTCTCTGCTGTCCTATTTAGCAGGTCATACGGTTGCCCGTAGTCTCTCATCTCCTCCATGTCACCCTCGGACACATACTCAACTCATCGTTTCCCATTCGAGTTCCCCTCGAGCGATGGCCTGGCGCGTGATGTTATTCGATGGTCTCCTCAGTGTGTGTGTGTGTCCTATTTCCATTTCCTTCTACATATTTGTTGGGCAACAGGTTCTGGTTTGGTTCGTTCCCAGCGTTTGTTGTTGCTGATTCCTTCTGGCTAGCCATTTGATCTTCAATATACAGCCGGGGAAGGCAACTATTGATAAAAGTCTGCAGCCCGTTTGAAATGATTTTGTGACGCGCATTGCACATTTCTTAGCCGTGTAGAAGAACTGATTGACTTAACATTGGTGTTGAAAATCCGAATTTTTTTGTTTATGCTGGTTGAGTGTGGAAGATTTTCAATGTGATTTTAGAGTGCTGAAAGTAAATCATGCTTTTCTCACTCTCATTTTGACATCCTCATCCGTGCGACTGCATGTAGTTGAAATGATGCTTCCCAGATAAGTGAAGGAAGTGAGCTATTTCAGATTTCTCCCGCTGATAGTGGTTGATACTTTTCGTTGTTGTTGTTTGGTCATCTGCATCACCTCCCTCTTCTCTTCTCTTTGCTGCCTGTTTCTTCTACTAACACTTTGGTTTTCATCTGTTAGTCTTCGAATTTTTCTGATGTTAGACGCGTAAGTCATCCGGTAAGTCCAGATCTTCTAGAGTTTTCTTATTTGTTAAACATTTCCTATCTTCTCACTCTCAGTGCACAGTATTCCACATAATTCAGTTCACCACAATTAGGAATATCATTGGTAATAGTAGGAGGCAGCCTTGTCTTACTCCTGTCTTCACTTCAAAGGTTTCTCTGAGTTTTCCACTGCGGATCACTTAGCCAGTAGTAAATTGGTTAAAGAGGGGGAATTCAGTGGAGGTAGAAGGCTAACAACCCCAACAAGTAAAAGAACGATACCACAGCTACAGAAATTTCAAGGCTTACGCTTGAAGCCCTATGTCCTACTCGGAACTCAAAGGAATCGGGAGGGGGATGGGAAATCACTTTATAAAGGATTCTTTATAGAAATCTGTCTCCCTATTTATCTAGACATGAGCTGTTCGTCAGTAGTGTCCATTTCCTTAAGTATTGTTTTGAGTTCAATGTAAAAATGCGCTTATAGAAGTCGGTTTCTCCTCGTCATCATCATCTGAATGATTGATTTTGATGGAAACTCCCTAACTGAATGAAATTAGAGAGATTTTGTAGTTTGGTTAAGTGGAGCTTGTGATAACATGTGCTATCTAACCCACTGAAACTATTCGAATTGTTAGTATTCATCTTCAATATACAAAATGTGGAGGTGCCGTTCATTCATTGACTTAAGCAACGGACCTTCTAGTCAATAGTTAAAGGATGAACTCTTCCAATCCCGCTTTACCTAATTCAGGCTGGCATATGAAAAAAATCTTTTCTGAGTGACTACGTTCTAACAGTATGCAAAATATTATTCATGCTTATCGTCATTCTAATCCAGGAAGAAAACAACATGGAATGCTATTTGAGTTAACTAACAGTTAATGACATTTTGATATAGACACGGATGGCTTGTTTATAGCTTCTGTTAGCTGATTTCAACTGTGATACTGATGGTTAGCAGTATCCTGTACTCTAGATGCCATATGACTATTGAAGATAAAGATGTAATGTGTTTGAAGCCTTCAGGTTGCTTCTGAGGTGTCATTCAATTGTGAGAAATGCTGATTCTTAAATGGTTACATAGTTAAGTACATTCAAGAATAATTTTATTTAAAGCTTGATCACGCATCGATATCACTTAGAGAACCATTGAAAACGAAAGATTACTGGACAGCTGTTTCATCCTAGTTCGTGACTCATCGTCAGTACACACCCACCCGGTTTCTAACCCAGGGCCTTCCCTACAAACAAACTCTTGAAAATTAAACTAATGCTCGCTAGTGATTGGCTGCAGGACAAAGTTTTCTGGAATTCTAGTGATAATTCGTGACCAGTGGGGTCCATCTTGTTGGAAGTGAACACAAATACTTGCCGATGACATTGGCTGGTGCCAGTCGCGCTAAAATCACGAATTCACCGGCCATTGAGTCGAGCCCCATTGGTTGAATGGTCTATGAGATTTCCTTGTAACCGGAAGCTCCTGAGTTCCAACCCTGGAGGTGGGTGCGTGCTACTGATGAGTCCCAAACTAGGATGAAACGGTTGTCCAGTACTCTTTGGTTTTCTAACCGGTATCAATCCGTAATCGAAACTGAAACAAAAAATAAATCCCTACAAACTAACACCTGATAATGTTATTTCAACTAAGATATCGGTAACATATGGGTTCTATGACTAAGTCTTATTAATGTAAACTTCTTGGTTGAGGTCATTAATTCAACCAATATTTTTGTCGTTTAAAAGTCTATTGCGATATAGTATGGAATGCATTGACTCAATATACAGGTGTATTCATGTCTTATATTCATTTTACTGTTCAAAATTTTATTCCCACACTTACCTTTATCTGTTTCTGTTTTGCCTTCAAACTTTTCATTACTGTCTTGTTTCTTGTTTAACTGCCTACTAGACATATTAATGTTAATTTTAACACGTTAGGCCACTGTGCTTTGTCATCAAGGTTACCAGACTCTTTTTTGTATTTATATGAGCTAATTGAATTCATTTTTCAGTCTGCCTAATCAACACGACGTCTAGTTGTTATGTAAATACTATTAATACTATTCCCTCAGGTTCCGAGTGGAATATACAGCTCCATTTCATCCTGTTGTCTGCAGCCATTTTTATCTGGCCTCACTATTGCCCATAAGCTCTCATCTCCTCTTCACAGGATCTCCATGTTGCCGTCCGACGCACACCAAACTCATCGTTTCCCATTCGGGTTCCACTCGAGACCAGGGCCTAGTGCGCGTTGTCAGCCAACGGTCTTCTGAGTGTGTGTCTAATCTATCTCCATTTCCTTCTGCATATTTATTGGCCAATAGGTTCTTGATTGATTTGTAGCTAGGGCTCTTTGTTACTTTTCCTTTCTGGATGGGCATCGGGTCTTGCGTAGAGAGCGAAGAAAGTCTGCAGTAATCTGTTCGAAATGCTGTTGGTGACATACCTTCTCTAAACTATGTAGAAGAACTGATTTGACATTAATGTTGAACATCCGAATCTCATTCCTTATGCTGTGTGCAGTAGACTTACACGCTGATTTTAGACTAATGAAGGTCTGACTTTATTTTCCGATCCTCGTTTTGACATCCTCATCTGTGCCACCTGAAGTTGAAACGATGTAAATATATTGTAACAACAGAAGACAAGGACCAGGCAACAGATCGTTTATTTACGAAATCAACAGATATTTGTAGATTCTCATGTACATTATAATAGATTATTATAAGCAAACAAACACAGTCTTCTGACTGGTGGTTTCTCACTGAACACTAATCTTTCATCTCTTTGTGGCCGTTTATTGAAGTTCAGATTATCTATCTGCAAATTGTATCCGCCTACGCAGTCTGCTGTGATTAGTTGTTGAATCAGTCTTTGTTCTTATTTTTCTCACGACCAATATTGGGAACGTAAACATTGACGTAAATTACTGTCTACCAATTTGGCTAGCAACCAGCTCTCACCACAATATCACTTACTAATTAAACTTGGATATCAGTCATCAAAATCTCTCCGAAATGTTGACAGTTATCTTTAATCTAAGTTGAGACAAAACAGTAGGTCTTAATCACTTAACTCCAGAAATGTTTAAGAGTAGCGCCGATGAATTATTTGACTAGATTTACTGTGATACAAGTTGGTGTATAACTATTTAATAAACTGAATGACTTAACAATGTAGAACCTTACACAACATTGTAATAATTTAAGTTTCCACAGTTCTTGGAAAGTACAACGTAAAAGTTGAGTAATGAAGTGTAATACATAATTCCAATGAACGAGGATATGTATATGTGAAGAGAATAATTAGGTGAAGCTTAATCAACATCCTCAAAATTTTGATGATGACAAGGAGTGAATACATCTTCGCCACTATGAACATTTCTGCGACACCACACAAAGACTACTCAACCACCTAATCTTAGCAACTAAAAGTTACTACTAGCCCAATCATATATACACCTGTCTGCTTGTTTCAGACCAAAAGTCAATGTCCCAATGAATTGCTGCCATATTTTCCTCTGACTACCCATAATTCTTTCTCAATTTAATCCAATTTAAGATGCTAAAGTACATTATTTTTGTGACTGGTGTGATGTCCAACTAACTGTTCATGAAAAGAATAAGCTGTTCACTCTGTCCTACTTTACGACTGCTGAACATGACTTCGAAAAGAAAAAGATATGGAAAGTTCAAGAGGTTTCTGACTATAGGGATATTTATTTAGTTAGTCGGGTTTGGTTGGAGGCGAATTGTTCTATAAGGTGGATAGGATTAGTCCATGAAGTTACTGACTGTTAGCATAAGAGTTAGCTGGTTAGCTGAAATGTTAACTGTGTTTAGAACCAGTAATTAAAAACACTTCATT